GACCACTTGCATGGCCTAATTAGAATTTTATTAGAAGTGTAAATCATAATTTGGATTTAGATATTTTAGCCAGATTTTATTTACATTCTCTCAATAATATATTTAACGTCAATGAGAGGTAAGACATATAATTAAAATAGCGTGTTATGGCAATCTTGGATATGATTATAACATTTGATTGATATACTCCCAAAACTCATATGTATTGATATTAAATATGCTATTCATTTTGTGCACCAATTATTAATATTAAATATTCAATAAATCAAATGCAAAACTTTTTAACTTGTTGAGTTAATATAAGTGTTCTAAGAGAAAATCCTGAACTGGAGTCCATAGAATAAATTATTAGAAATTAATTTAGCATTTGGAAAAGACTATAGAATTATAATTTATAAAGTATATATTAGGATGGAAAGTTCTACATTATTTGGTTAATGTTTCTTGACCATATCTTGTGGGCAATAATTTTCAATTAATTTGTCTATTAGAAGAATTTAAATACATCCAGCATAAGGAATTGAAATTCATTTCACAATTAAACATGATAATGACACCATATTAATTTGGTGCCTCTAAAATATGTCTAGATCACAAAAGCCTGGATGATTGAAATAGTAGACTAAATCCAAAAATTGAAGTTGAAATGGCGTGACTAAACAAACAAAATGAGGCTGCTCTTTAGTCAACAAACTTCTTTTTTTATGGTTTTCAAAAGCTTGGTTGAGCTGAATGTAGGGGTCAACATCTCTGAGAGACCACCGTCATCAACTGCTTGGGAGATGGTTTTGCTCAGTTTCCTCCTCTTTGCATTAGTGTCCTCTGGAGTGACAATCTGTGAATCAGTCAGGTCATCATCTTCTTCTGCCTCCACAAGGACAATTTTTGGAGAGGATTTTGACGCACTCGATTCAACCGGCGAAGCCTGTTAAACATATTTTCAGTATATTAGGTACCTCACTTTGATATATTACAGCTTAAAGATCTTTGATTATAAGTATAAATGATCAATATTAATAGTTAATACCTCAGTTAGAGTTGGAGGATTTTCCTGGTATTCGCTATATGTGAACTTTTCGATTATGTGCATATCATCAGAAAACTGTGAGACACCCATGCTACTATTGGGGTGACCGATGTTGAAGTCCTTGATTTTAAGTTTGACCAGGACTTCCTTCCCTATGCAATCGGACAGCTCTTTAGGAAATCCCATAGGCTTGCCCATCTGTTAGCATCACATAGTGTAATGTGTTAAAATGTGGTACTGATATTCAGCAGAACAAATTTATTTTGACAAAATTTCCCAAAAGAGATCACCTTAATCATTTGATCCTTGAGGTCGGCAGCAACACAGTTCAATAACTGAGAAGCTAAGCGATTGAAAAAAATGATTGAACATTTACCAGTGGAATCCCTTGCTTTGTAATGAACTTTGAACCTATATGTATTAACCAAGTAAATATTACTTATGTAGTTAAAAAGGAATAAAGATAAGTCACTAATAGTAAAATAATATGGTATATTTATCTTGAAGAATATTTCATACTTGGGTTCAGTCATCTTGACTTCTGTGTTGCATGCGCTACACTTAAGTTTCCCATTGACATAGAATGGTTTTTTATCACATGGACATCCATCGTAATTCCAACCATATGCTGTTTCAAGCTTCTCAATGACCAACTTAGTGACAACCTCACATGGCTAAATACCAAACATATATAAGCACCTCAATTAAAAGCAAGTTGATAACAGAGTTGTTTTTCGATCAATGTAAATAAAATTATACCTCAGTGAAGTTCATTATCTGAGCTACATTAATCCTGCAAGGGAAACTTAAGAGTGACTCATTTGTAGCAGTTGCAATGACACAGCTTGATACCTGGGATAAACTTTGACTTGCAACTGGATTATCTTCAAGACTAAACATAAGTGTTGGAAAATTATTAATAATTGGTCACTTTCATGCTAACCTTAATCTTAATAAGTAATAACTTAATAATGGTTGATGAAATTAACCTGTCAAGTAGTTTCTTGGTCTCAGGGAGGTCAGGATTGAAAACTACCTTGGTCCCCTCAAACTGATTAGTTAAATGTCCGAAACCTAGATTTTCAAGGTTAAAGCTTGATGATAGACATGAATAGCAATGAGGTAACACCTTTAATAACATGTGATGATACATATACGTACCTTTTCCTCTGTTGATTCTTGCAAAACGAAGGAGCACAACAATAGGTGGTTGTAAGTCTTCCCCTTTGGCTCTAAATATTTCATTGGCACACTGACCGAATACTACCACATTGACAGATCTCTCACTGCAAAAAAAGGAAAAAAATCCTGTTTCTAGGCACATATAACGAAAATATATATAAGAAAACTGGTTGAAATAATTGTGAAAATCCAATACATAGTAACAGGGACAACTAATAAAATAAAACACAAAACATCTTAAAATATAAACTATAAACTGGGCTAATCACTTCTCATCCGCAATTGTGAAACTGAGCTTCCTTGTACTACCCCCTTCTTTTTTATGATCCTTCAAATCTCCAAATGATTGTAAAAACCCAATAACATCTGGAAAACATTAAAAAAAAAAAAAGACTTTAAATCCAACTTTTCTTAAAAGAATTAAACAATGACAAAATGCTAAGCAATATAAGTATGTGATCCAACCTATCAAGTCTTCATTGTTGGCATTAAACTCAGCAACATCCTTGATTGTAACGAAGTTGAATGCATCAAATGGAATTGAAAGATCACTTTCCTCGATCGATGTTGAACAATGAAAGCTTAACTTATATTTACAATCTGTAACCTTGTACTCATCTTTGTTAAGGAGCACTTCAAAGTTCTCAAAATGATACACTACCCCCTCCCGAAGTTCTTCAATGATACGTCTAATTAGTGATTTCTGAGTGGTAAATGCTTCAATCCTACTTTCCTACATATAGAAGAAGAAACTGTGATAGGGTATTTGTAAAAGTTAGATGGAACATGGTGAAAATGAAATAAACAAATACCTGTTCATCCACTAATAGCATGGATACCTTCCACACAGCATAAGGAGGGATCTTTCTGGGCACCGGCCATTTCCTGACAATCTTCGCATGCAAACTCCATGTGTCTTTGCTGGAGTTCAAGTCTTCGATAAAATTTTTTGCAGTAGGAGCCATTTTTTGTACAATACTGATGTGCCTTAAGACGCAATAATAGTAACTTGATATTCAGGGTGATAGGCAGTACAGATAATGATCAAACTAACGTGATATATATATATGTTCATCTATGCAGAATGACCCCACTGAAAATTTGGCAGGATGTATGATTTTTGAAATTCCCTCATAATCCTGAGAAAATTTTTCCCATGATCCGTGGCTCCTATCAAACAGCCAATTGTTGACAGCAAAAAAATCCAAGAGCCAATGGTTAAATTGTTAGGTCTAATAAAAACGCACCCAGGTATATGACTGATAAAATAATAAATGATAATGTGCTTGGAATAAAAGAAAATCAGCATGTGTAGTAGACCATATCATTTTTTTTCCTTGAAGGTAGTAAATGATATGACGGTATAATAATTACATGGATAGATGCGTCATCAATAATTAAAAACATCAGATATCTAATTGGCAGTACTGATACACCACAAAAACAAAAACTATGAAGTCACATGCGTGTGAACAGAGGCCAAAGCCATTAATTGTCCTTGCAAGTTCTACAAAGTTTCATTTTATTTTTTTGAAAAAAGAGAGAATCTATCCAATGCCAATTACATGAGAAGACATTATAAACATCGGGAATTGATAATGGCAATTGATGATTGACAACGCATAGCAAAGAGGAGTATTAGCATCGGGAATTGATAGCACCACAAAGGTAATAAATTACATGAGAATATTGTGAGCAAGAAATGTAGATGGACGATTAGGGTTCACGAGATGGAAATATTCATACATCGGGAATTGATAATGGCAATTGATTGACAATGCATAGCAAAGAGGAGTAGTAGCATCGGGAATTGATAGCACCACAAGCAAAACCCGCATATAAAAATATAATGTTCATCCATAGAGGACCAATTGGAATAGAGCACATGGCAGGAAGGGAAAGACTGAGGTGGGCCAATGAGGGACTTCGTACGCGATTTAGAGATATGAGTTGATGTTCTTTATTAATTGTTTCATAGGGCGTTTAATTACCATATGTGTGTGCATGCATGGCGTGTGCGCGCGCGCGCGCTCATCAAGCGGGCTAGGGTGGGCAGAAAAATGACAATAATGGAATAAAAGTAATAATGCGGTGGAATTTGGGAGGGGTAGGTTGGTAATTTAGAAATTGCTGACTGATTAATGAGAATATTCTACTATGATCTATGAATGGGATTCCTATTGGCCTCTCATGTGTAGCTCATACTATATGAACAAAAGAGCTTAGTTGCCTCGTTGTAGAATATTCAATTGAATCTCGCGCGCGTCCATCGTTTTCACGTCAGAAACTAAAATATTTCTACGAATCTGCTAATTACTGGTTGCCACGCGCCTCTTTAAAAAAATAGCAATAATTGTTGCTTGGTCGTATGCTTTATTTTTATAATTAGAGGTTCATAATCATATGGAATCGATCTCTACCTCGGAAGGATCGAGTGGGAACAGAAGAACATAAAGAACATGCATATCATACTGTAGCAAGTCAAACGTTCATGTTCCACGAACGAGGACAACGCGGAGATTAAATTAAACCACAACTTAATTTTTTATGATGTTGGTTTAAAAATATAATTAGAAAAATTAAAATTTTGTATCTTTTTCATAAAAAAGATATTATTTGATGCAAGCCAGCCGAAGATTCTGACACGGCATGTTATGCAATCCAAATCCGGTGGCCAGGTGGGTGCTTTTGTTTTTCTTGGCCCGACAGGATTATCGACAGAAAACAAATAAGTATGAAAAAAATAAAATATAATTAAAATTTTGTTCTCTCTCATGAAAGCTTATTTCACAGAATATAAGCTGATTCAAAAAAATTTTCAAAGCTTCTTCATTTAATCTTATAATGTTTATTCCTTTCAGTAAATGGAAAATCTAATGTGTATCAACATCTGACTTAGTTTTAATTTAAAAAAAAATACTGGAAATGCCATAAAAAAAGTATTTAATATATTAGTGGTATAAAACGAAGAATTTATAGCACGCACTCAGAATATTATTTACAATTTTATAAATAACATAACTCATAATTTATCCAACGGGTCATCAGGTCATGCATGAAAGCCACGTCATCTAAATTATCCATAACTCAAGGCCCAATACTTTTTGATAGGCTAACTCAAGGCCCATTGCATATATGTATATTTCAAAAAAAAAACCTCATGATAAGCCCTAGAAAATGAAGGACTTTATTATGCATCTCTGGATTTAACGACAAAATATTCAATATAGACCAATAAGCATTGGGTCCATCCAAAGAGGATAGTCTTCGTAAGATAACAAAAGTTGGTCTAATTAGTAAAAAGTTGACTCATAATCCACAAGGTCGTGAGTTCAAATCCCACTGCTGATGTGATGACCTTATTGGTAGGTGATCTATAAATACTTCTGTAAGTGCTCTTTGAACTTGGAGGCATGTATTGGCCTGAGTGAACCCTCGCGACTCAACTCACCTAAACTTTTATGTACAAAAAAAAAGGTATTGTCATGGATAAGTGCCCCACATTTTGCATCAAATAGTGTCTCAAATATGTTTGACTTTAATAGGAGGATTTATGTGCCTAACAAAAATAAAAGAGTCAATACTCTTGAAAAATGAGACTAGACTTAGCCCAGTCTTGATGCCAAAAAAACTTAGCCCAGTCTAGTACACATCAATTGGTGTCAGTCCTACTCAGAGAAACTTTAACCGTTGGACTACGAGGTATCAATTACAAATCCGTGTAAATGCAGAGTTATCTTTAATTGGGCTCAATAATGAGTGAATCTGACTTAATTAAATAATCATGTGAAAAAACATACTACACAGTACACACCCATAGTAGAGGGACTTTTTTTAACCTTGCCTGGGTAAAGAGATTAAACTCTTGCAATTGAGTACATTACATTATTAACTTAGTGCTTGCTTTATTCGGAACCCTTCCCTTGGTCATAAAAGTATTTCTCCTGATCTTTTGTTTTCCCCTTTCTCCTTTTCTTTACCATACCGAGTCTTATTTATTACAGCCTCTCTTCTTTTTTTTTTGGTTTCTTCCTATGCACTTTCACTTTGGTCTTCTTTTTAATATCACGACACTGACTTGTTCACACTCGAACCCTTTGTCATATGATTCAAAGCAAAAGCATACTCGCAAATCACCCGTAGCCCCCACATTCTTCGCTTCCACGTTTGGATCATCAACAATAGTACATAGGGCTCGAATTATTGACTATATGATTATTATGATAAGTAATACTGCCTCTAATCTTAATTATAAGATTTTATTTGTAATATATGAACGAGATCTTATAATTAGGATCGGAGGTAATATTACTACTAATTTTAAATATAAAATTTGGTTAGATCATACTACAAAATAAATTTTTATATTTAGAATAAAAAATAATAATTTATATTTATTTACCTACACATGCATTTCAAAGAATGCTGGTACCTCAGATGAAGGACTTCTTAACGTGCAGGAAACCTAATAGCAATAAGAACCTAGTAGTGATCCTCGATGGTGAAGAGTAATCGCCCATGACTTTGTAACAAATTCTTTATTATAAGTAAAAAGTTGAGTTTAATTTTCTCCATAATTTCAAGTTGTTAATATCTGCTCAGATATATATATTTTTTCTTTTGCTAAAATATAGTGAAGGGTAATCAGCCTTACTTACCCTCATGCATTCACTTGTTTTTTATATGTATTATAGTCATTTGCAAAAGTTAAGGGTGGGTGAGGATCACTCATAATTCGGTTCTTTTTGACCGTATAAAAACAAAAGTTATCTTCTAGAAAAAAGTGCGGCGACAAAATACTCTATTATAGTAATATTCTAGAAAAAAAGGACATCTCTTTTATTGAAAATTTAAATTCGATCACAAATTAGGGAGGGGAAAAAAAAAGAACAAACTCTTCAGGGCAAATCTCAAATAAATAGACGCGGAAATAATGAACGGACTAGAAAATTAACAGGAATAATTTAATCAGACATAATATATTTTAATCCCAACTCTTGTTTTTTAGCCGCAGATGAGTCCATCATGAACAGAATGTACCAGAAATCGCGAAACCCTGCAGGATAATAGATAACTGAGTACTGATCTCGCCTCACGGGCCCCACGAGATCCTTTATCGTTCCTTGTTAACTTCCTCTAGCCAGATTCCGCCAACCTTACAAACATGACCTCAATATTTTTTCCATGAATTACCCCAATTCCCTTTTAAAAAAAAAAAGAAGCTTATAAATAATTCGATGTTATTGATTTTAATAAATAAAAATAATACTGAAATTGTTACTCAAATAACGTGATTTATAATTTTATTCGAAGAATTATCAAATGTAATTACTAATTACCCAGTTGAGTGGTTATACAGTGCCACGTATCCAGCGATGTCGCTAAATGGCCATGTTAACTAACGTCGTAGCACTCTCGTGATTCCAGAGTTCACTGAACTGAGCATTGGGCAGTTTTCGAAGGTCCTGACACGGAGCACTGAGCTCTCTCGTTGATTTTCTCATTTGCTGTTCATTCTCATTGCATCCGAGGCTTCGGTCGCATCCTCGCTCCTCTTGAGCTCCACATCGAGGTAGTTTCTAGCACTTGAACTTTATCAATATCCACGACCAGGTTAATTTGTTTTTCGCTGTATTTTGGTTGGACATTGCTGATTCATTCGCTTTGGAAATTCCTTGGTTTCTCGTCAAACCGTGGATGGATTCTGAGAATGAATGCAAATTTTGTATTCCGTTTTCGAATCGAAGTGCGTTGAGTGTCGAAGAAGATATGCTGCGTTCAATTTTCACCGCGAAGTTTAGAACGGTGTGATACTTTTCAAATTTTAATACGTCTTAAATACGGGACATGCTAATAGGAAATGATGGGATTTAAGATTGATGTTGATGATCGTCAACTTGAGTAAGTTATGTCTAACAATTAATTGGCAGCCCGGGTCCGGGAGCGCGCAATTCTGTTTCGTGTCCCAAATTTGAAAAGCATCCTGTTATTACATGCCTCAATTTTGTGCTTTTTTTTTTTTGTAGAAAGTTCTTTTAATTACTACGTGCTGATGCTTGGATTTCTTTAAAATAAAGAGTGGCTTCCCCGATATGAGTAATCTCGTCACGCATGGCATCTTGCACCAGACTTTGATACGTCCAACGGTTGCTAAATATCGAAGTAAAGTTAATTCTTCCTTCATATCTGCGAACAATTTACACCAAGATGTAAGTGAGAACCAAGCGCCAGCACAAGCACAGAATTTTCTACTTGCTACAAAATTTTGTGGGAACAATTTGTGTGTAAGAAAACCGAAGGTAGCCATGGCAAGGCATCAACAAGCTGCAGTTGTTCCACAAGCTGTGTCTTCACCCACAGTTCAAGCTTCTGAGGTGAGCTTCAAATGTGAAATAATATAAATATGGTTTAATTCAAACCCTCATGCTGATTAGAGAGTTCTGTTAGTATTTATCAAAAGAAAGAGAGTTTTATTAGTATACCGTAAGTAGAGATGAAGCTTAGTCGATCTTTGCATGGATCGGAGTTCAATTCAACTAAGCCTAAAAAAGAGATCAGACTTAGCTTGTATCTTCTATAAAATGCGAAAAATAAATTGAGCTTAATTAAATAAGGAAATTTAGAAATTTTAGTTTATACATTTGAAATTAAATACAATAATGTACTTATTTTATTTCACTGCGAACTGAGTCACTGGCACATTAAATGAGTCTTTTAAGCTTGATTGAGGCAGCTAAATGAGCTCTATGCTAAATTCAAGTTTTTCCGTTTGATGAATGAAGTAAGATGAGAGCAGCCTAGATATGAGGTTCTAAGTAGCTCATTTCATTTGCAATCCTATGAGTAAATGTTGAGTACAATTATGAACATGTTGACGAGTTGTCCAAGTCAATTTGTTCTGTGAGGTAATTTACAGTAGAAATGTTGATTTTTTAAATTTAATAACTAATGTAAATTATCGTGCATTCCCCCCCCCCCCAAAAAAAAAAAGTAGGAGAGAATCGTGCAAGCATGTTTGATAGTTTTAAAGATACATGCTGCTGTGCAGTGATGGTTCAATTAATGGATTTTATATAACAGTTAATGTACAAAAGTTTCGATGATAGACTTCTTATTATGAAATGAATAATTAATCAACATACCTCTGCATCATCCAAGAAAAAGTAAACAGAACTGACCATAAGTGCTTCGAGTCTGAACTTTCATGAATGTTTGAACTATTCAATTGAATTCTCTGTTAACAACTTTTGTCCCTGTAGCAGATTTCAGGAAATTTCCTTCTTGATGGGAATATTGAATTGCAGGTATACAGCAGGCCTAAAATATTAAATGGTTTAAGGCATTTATTATATGGTATGGTAATAATCTATGAATTAATGGGTGCTATATTATTGATGTACCAGGTTGGCGTTACGTCTTCAGCACCAGGGCTTACACAAATAGATATAGAAGTTTCTAGTAGCAGTGACTCTCTGCTTTTGCACTGGGGAGTTATTTGTGATCAACAAGGGTATATTCAGCATAAACTATCTTCAATTATTGATATTTAACCCAAGATTGTCAATTGCTTGAATTGATTACTAATGTTCGTACAATTACATTTGTTTTTTGTTTGTAGGAAGTGGGTAATTCCTTCTCGACGCCCAGATGGAACAAAAGTACATAAAAACAGAGCTCTTAGGACTCCATTTGTGAAAGTACGTTTCCAATGATAACCAAAATTTAAGAAAATTCCAAGAAAACTGATGTATTCACTTTATTTTTAATGAAATTGTTTTCCTAGAGGGGCTCTGGATCCATCCTTAAAATAGAAATAGATGATCCTGCAGCACAAGCTATTGAGTTCCTTATACTTGATGAGTCTCAGAATAAGTGGTGAGTGTTTGTATTTGTTGTTGTTCCTTGAGTTCCCTATACTCGACAAGGCCCAGAATAACTGGCGAGTCTTTCTATATGTTGTTTCTTTTCATTAGATTCACGTTTATGTGATTATATCATTATATCAAACTTCTATTTACAGGTTTAAAAACAATGGTGGAAACTTTCACATTAAGTTACCAATAAAAGTTAAGTCAGATAAAAATCTTTCAGTTCCTGAAGACCTTGTACAGGTTCAAGCGTATCTTAGGTGGGAAAGAAAGGGTAAGCAGAAATACACCCCAGAGGAAGAAAAGGTCAGTGATCAAGTCATGTTCATGTGTAGAAGTCTAGTCTTTATTATTATTCTTACTTTTTTTAATTTAATTTCTACTCTTAACTTGCTATATTATATTATTCTGCTTTGCCTTTGGAGATTATGAAAGCTGGAATTTTGAGTTATGTTGAGTTTAAAACTTACTGATGCATGCAAAAACGAGGGAGGTTTTATTATGTTCATTTTTGTATTAATATTATGCTTATGTATGCTCATGTCTTCTTAAACTTGACTAGGACACCCACATTTGGTTCTATTTGTTTTAACACACCCTGGTTTCTGTCTTTATCATGACTTTCACTCTAAGAAGCATAGACACTAGTACAGGACACATTTCACAACATAATATGTAGCGTCTAGATGCAATTGAAAGTGTCATATCATATTTGATGGTCAAACTCGATATGACTCTATTTTTAAGTATAAACATTTCATAACTTGTATCATGTGGATGAAGGGGAAAAACTGTTAAGATATGTACATTTTCATCCCTAGTATGATATAGAAATTTGTCTTCTTTGAATTAATTGTATAACTTAAACGTGTTCCCTGCTTATTTATTGACTCAGTTGAATGTGTTCCCTGCTTATTTGTTGACTCAGTTGAAGATTCCTCAGAATCCTCTAAGGGTGCTTTCGGTGTGGAAAAGGAAAATCCTTTCCTTCCCGGTGCACAAAAGACATGATACATGTTTTTTTAATTGTCCTTTTCTATTACTTTTTGAAGGAAAAAAATTTAAAGGCACAAACGACATCTTCAAAACCAAAAAATTAATTGTTACTCTTTTCATTTCATTTTTTTCATCACCTTACATTTTGTATGTTAAAGGTCCCTCTAAGTGACATGGATTTGGAAATTTAAAAGTTAAAGGAGAAGCTTCTTTGTCGCTTGTTTTTCTTTTAATCATAAGATGATACCATATGTTCACAGTATCCTGAGAAATTTGATCATTACAAATATGAAAATTTTCTTTCTCTTTTTTTCCCTCTTTTTTCCTTTTTTTTTTTTCCCATCTTATGTATGATTGGAGCCCGAATGGTGCATGTGTAGATGCTGTAAGGTGATGCAGAAAATAGCTTTCATCAAAATGCTGTATCTTTTTTCAAATTGAGGTTGCTTTAAAGCTTTTGGATAGGCCTTTTTACCTTGTATGATGAGCAGCATTTGCCTTGGACTGTTTTAAGCTATTCATGTGAGAGGCTTTGGAAAAAAGATAGTGTTTAAAATCCTCAAGCAGTGTGCAGTCTGCTACTTTTGCGGTCCTCTGGCAATCATGTCTAGAGCAAATGTTGGAGTTTTAGTCATATCTGCTTTTAGCTGAAGCAATTACTTGTTCTTTATATTTAAATTTCTTATCCTCCTCTGTTGATCTTTTAGTTTACAAATTCCCATTTGATAATACCGTTCTGAAAACCCAAAGAAAGCTGTTGTCTTTTTGTAGTTTGCTGTTGGCTTCATATGTTTTGCTGCATGGCATGGGATTTTTACAATTGTCTATTTATGTGTAATGGATAAATGATTTTCCCTCTTTTGTGGTAGGAGGAATACGAAGCAGCTAGAACAGAGCTATTGGAGGAACTGGCTAGAGGTACTTCAACGGAAGACCTTTATGTGAGATTAAAAGACAAAACTACTGCCACAGAAATCAAGGAGCCTTCAGTTTCTGAAACAAAGATAATACCTGATGAACTTGTACAAGTACAAGCCTATATACGGTGGGAAAAAGCTGGGAAGCCTAACTACTCTCCAGATCAACAACTTGTAATTTTAGAACATACTTTCTGATTTCCATTTTCTGTCAAGTATCACTCACTTAGATTGTCAATATTATATTGCTTATCTAACCCTTTTATTTATCTATTCTTACCTTTATGCTGTGATTACTTATCGACTCCTGTGATGTTTCCAACAGAGGGAATTTGAGGAAGCAAGAAAAGAATTGCTAGCTGAGCTTGAGAAAGGCACCTCTATAGATGAGATAAAGAAGAAGATTTTTAAAGGAGAGATACAGACAAAGGTTGCCAAGCAATTGAAAACCAAAAAATATTTTCGTGCTGAAAGAATCCAACGGAAAGAGAGAGATTTGATGCAACTTATAAACAGACATGTTGCTGAAAACATTGTTGAACAAGACGTAGATGTGACTAAAGTCTTGACAGTAATTGAGCGATATTCCAAGGCAAGGGAGGAACAGAACAGGGGTCTCCTTTTGAATAAGGAAATCTACAAGCTTGGCGATGATAATCTTTTGGTGGGGCAATATCTTATTCATGCTTTCTTCTAATCTGCTTCTGCTGGTATTTATTTTTCTGGTATAAATTTGCATAGTGACGGTGTTTCCTATCTTCAAGGTCCTTGTTACTAAAGATGCTAGCAAGACAAAGGTCCACCTGGCTACAGATTTTAAGTCGCCTGTTACCCTTCACTGGGCCTTATCTAGGACAACACCGGAGGAGTGGTTGGTGAGTTATTTAAGGAAAATTCAATGAAAATCCTTTCAATTTTTAGATCAGTTCCATTCCATGGAATAGTTAACTTTTGGGTATTCTGGACTCTAAGCATGAACTTTTTAACTAAGAAATCAAAATTAAGTATGAGACAGTCAGTAAAGAAAATATGACCCAAAAAATGGATGAAAATGGTTGTTGAATTCCCCCCCCCCCCATGTTTTATGAGTTTAATTGCTTGACTTCAAAGTTGAGAAGTATATTCCTTCAAAATCTAAGGATCTGGTTGAGAGAGAGTTTTGAAACGGGTGGGGTGGGGGAACAATCTATTCTTTTGGTTGAAAGGACTTAGACATGTATGGCACCACACTTCCCACTGAGTGGATGTTCACTGTCATTAAATGTGGGATGGATTTGAATGATAAAATTTCCCATATTATCCTAATGATTTGGCCTTTCAAAACAATGAGCAAGTGGAGTTGGTTAAAATAGGAAATTCAAAATTATAATGAACCCCAGCCACGTGATGTGGAGTGGTTGGAAATTTTGGGCTGTGGGATGTGTTCTTCCACCCTGCTTAATATCTCTCCCAAACCATTCCCTCTCTCAAGCCCTAAACTTGAGGTGGGTTCTGTGAATATTTCTATTTTGTTTATAGTTAATACTGAAGGCGAGATACTTTGGATGTTAAAGTTCATGTCAATGGTTGTCTGCTTTTTTCAAATTTCTCCGGCAGGTACCCAACCAAAGCGGTCTGCCCCCTGGTTCAGTTGCTGTGAATGGGGCTGCCGAAACACAATTTAAAAGTAGTTCGTCATCTGATCCTTTTCATGAGGTATCATACAAAACATAGCTGAAGTTGCGTTTTTCATTATTTGAGGTCATTTAGATCTGCATTAATCGATAAAAATTTCAGGTCCAATCTTTAGATATAGAGGTTGACGATGATACTTTTAAAGGAATGCCTTTTGTCCTCCTGTCCTGTGGAAAATGGATAAAGAATAATGGGTCCAACTTCTATATTGCATTTGATAGTGGAAAGAAGCAAATAGAGAAGGTTAGAATCCTTGATCATCAGTCTTCTTTATTTATTTCACCTTGTTATATGTAATCACAAGATTTTTTTTTTTGAAAGGATAATGTTGATGGCAAAGGTACTGCCAAGTTTTTGCTGGATAAAATAGCAAAAATGGAAGATGAAGCGCAAAGGTCCTTCATGCATCGGTCAGTAATCTCCTAAAAGCTTTTGACTTCTTCATTGCATTAATTTCATTTGTCCTCTAATGCGATTGTAATCTTATCTTCTATGTATAAGTTTTTTTTTTCCCCAATAGGATCTTGAGGAAATTGGTTTCCCTGTACTTTTTAGTAAAGCAGTTGGTTGGCTTAAAGGCTGGTCTACCTCAGGTGTTCATGGACCAGGTGTTTAGCCTAGTATCCAATTTGGTTTAAGACCGGGCTTTGAAATTGAAGCTTAGTGCCCACGGCTTGGCCTATGCTGATTTAGCAGCAGACCAGGCTGTTTAAGCTCTTTTTTCTATGAAAAAATTTTGGTAGAAATCATGAAATGGGCTCCTAGGCAATAGAATTTTCATATAAGTCTTTGTGTAGTTATATTTTGCTTCTGAAAGAAAAGATTCAAATCTTCATATCGTTTACTATATTTTCTGAATATAGCATGATTGTGCAGGGCAGGGCCATCCCCCCTACCAACCCTAAAAAATGGGATGACCCAACCCTAAAAAACATGTGTTTTTGCCCAACTCAAGTTCCTTCAATGCAGATGGGCAAGTCCGGCCTTGAACACCTATGGTCTGATTTTTCGTCCAGTTCTAGAGACAAAGCAAGGGATGTTGAAGTGTCCCATGCGTTTTGTTGTCTGTTTGTATTGCATGCTTCAATCTGTCGCAAGACTTAATTCAACTGCCTTCAGTTTTCTGTTACATTTAACATGCCTTTTTTTTCCTGGCTTGCCTTTATTGCCACCCTGGATCTGTCTGGTTGAAAAAAGTATCACATACATGAGGATTTCTTGATGCCTTGTTATTTGCCTCTAATTAATCTGTCATGTGGAAGTTGAAAATAACTGTTCTTCAATAATATCATAAATGCTCGCCAATTTGGTTCTTTTGGTAATTCTGTTTGGTGGGATCTGATTAAACCACTCAAACCTTTTGGCAGATTCAACATTGCAGCAGATCTTGTAGATCAAGCAAAGGATGCTGGTCAATTGGGTCTTGCAGGTATGTTGGTGTGGATGCGGTTCATGGCAACGAGACAGCTCATATGGAACAAAAATTACAATGTGAAGCCACGGTAGGCAATTGGTTTTTCTCCATATAATTGCAATTGTGAATCATCTTCATCTTTGAATTTGGTTTTTTATCATTGTCTCTTGGAACAAGCTATTCATTTGCTATATGTTCTTTGTTAATGTCTTTCTGTTCACACC